GTGCCTAATTCAAACGGATCACTTTGCATCTCGCACGACACCCTTTTGAAGAACGTCTCCAGCATTAACAGTTTCCAGAGGCCCCTGCTGTGTGCTGTCTCTGCTCTGCTTTCCCTCTCCCCTCGTCCAAAAATACAAAAGGGGAAAAAAATAATAATAATAATAGAGGGGAAAAAAAAAAGTTTGTTAAACGTGTAAAACCTTTGTGCCTGACAGAGAACCCGTGACTGAAGGTGGCAGTGGAAATGTGGGAGTGGCGATGTGACAAACACCGAAATGGGTGAATGATGCGCGCGAGAAAATTGCCGACCAGTGACATTGGAAGCGGAGCTTCACAAATGGTTCCGGACGGCACAACTCCTCGGCTTATAAAGGGATTATTTACACGTGTCCCTTGCTCCGAGAACCCGCTGTCTGTGGATGGGCACTCTGCTCAAAGGAAAGAGGACCCAGGTATAGAATCTGACCGAGAGGCCGGAAGAAGTTGCCGGTGGGTTCCTCTCAAACCCCTTTGTGCCTGCAAATCACCGGGTGATCGCCGAAAGCTGCGGTGAGGAACAGGCAAGCTACTGAGAAGGTACAGAAGGGGCCTGCGGGCCTTCATGTGCTAATGCGGGATGAAAAAGGCCAGAGATGTGATCTTAGGGCATCCTCCCTCAGCTTGTGCAGACAGCCCCATACTGAGGAGAACCGGGGAGGTCTGGGACAGGTTCCCACTGGATGATGAGACAGCTACTTCATCCCAAACTGGAGCTGTGAACCAATCCTCACGTTCTGCCTTTGGCAGACAGCTGCATTTAGGAGGCGATCGAGGTGACGCCCGCAAACGCACTTTGCGAACCACTCCCAGAGAAAGAAACACAGGATCACTTGCAAAGGTCACGTGCCAGTATTTACCTGGACAAACTCCAGCTTTTCTGCACCCCTCCAGTAGTTTGCTTTTATTCGTAGTTCGACTACCCAGGTGAAAACAGACAGCTGAAGGGAACGCTGACTCTGCTTGAGAGAGCATGAGGCTCGTGCTTGAGAGACCTTTCTGAGTAGGCTGGTGGCTTTTATCCTTTGTCTGAGAACCTAAGTCACCACAAGCAACCTTCCTCCGCAACAACACGAGTTAATCAGCCGCAGTGCAGGCCGGCTTATCTGTGGCTGCCTTCCGTCTGTCTCGTCCCTCTTTCAGGGTCAGCCTGTCCTACCAGGGGAACTGCGGCCCAAGCCTCAGCAAAGTTTGCCTTGTTACACCTGGGGCTCCCTCTTCATCTGACGCGTTCTGATGAGCCCTGCGGGAGAACAAAATGCCAGAGTTGCTTATAAAGCAACTTTCCTGATGAACTCTACTGCACCGAAACTCGACACACTGAAGTTTAGCGTACTGACTGAGAAGACACAGACGCAGCGCTAAGAGAAATAACTGCTCGTAGGCTCTAGCGTGTGGATGGGGCTGCTGTGGTGGGAGTCGGGAGACCAAGGAGCAGACAGATCTCTTCATAATGAGAAGCACAACACAACTTCTGCCATGAAGACGGGAGCTGAAGCTTCCCAGTCATTAACAGGGAGGCCCAGGAGCTGCGGCCCACTGCCACCGTGACCCCAGAGCAGCGGAGCCTAGACAGCACTGTGGGCTGACAGCTGTCAGTGCCTCTCAAAATGCTTCAAAGAACACCCAAAGGGGGCTTCGAGCCAGAGCCCTTCCCGAGCGACCGCCAGACTTTCGAGCAGATTCTTCAGCCAACAGTCTGGTAGCGTGGCTCTCGTCGCAGAGGCTTTTTCTTAGGAAGGGAAAGTACTGGAAGAAATTCTAGCACGTTTCAGACTCTTCACTGCTAGTCAGTTACTTCGGATAGAGAATGAAAACCTTAACCTAAGTGTTAGAAGCCTTCAATGGATCGGTGCCCGGCTTTGCCAATGAACAGGTTATTCCTGTGTCACCTCTATTTTTGGTTTGTGTCGTTGATGTGGCAGACCTACTTTCTGAAGCTTGGACTGATTTTGTGGAGAAGAGAATGCTATTTCTGAGCTGCAGTGCTTTCAAGGCATTCCGCAAGATGAGATGTTTTACTTGTGGCACAGAAGATAGTGCGCTTTTGACAAAAAATGCCAGCCGACTGGTTTCTTGTGCTCCGCATCTACGATTGGTGATCTCCCACCGTAGGAGAAGAGAACTCTACTGCTATGCCAATCTCTGCTCTAGGTGGTGCTTGGATGTAATCACGGGAGCTTCAGAGTATCTTATGTGAAGCGGAATAAGCGTTCCGAATTGCACAAGAATGGCTTCTTGACATTTTCACGAGAATCTTCAGTTTTTACTCAAAAAGGCAACAACTCACCATATTTCAAACAAAAACTTCACATATACACATATGTATATGTGAAACACATATATTTTGAAGGCGTAATTGCTGGGTGTTCGAAGTGGATGTCTGGCTAGTAAAGACTGCTGGAAGTTGAGATAAAAGCTGCTTTTGGTGATGAAGCCTGCGAACCGAGCTACATTTTTGCTAGCTTTTCTAGGAGGACCTGAACATCTCGAAGAAATATCGTCTGAGATGCAAAGTGAACCCCAGGAAGAACTGTCTAATAGCACGCGTTATAAACCCTCAGGCAAACGGTAATGGTGGGAGATCCTTACAGGGAAAGTGGTTTTTTTGTGGGTGCTCAGTCGAGTCAGAGAGCTCTCTCAGTTTCTTGTAGCCTCGGAATAGTTCTTTATTGTATTCAACATACATCTTATACACCACTCACTTACAAAGAAGAAGTTCGCGTTCCTCCAATAGTTCCTCTAATCAGTTAATTGGCCCTAGCTCCTCTCAAACAACAGCGATGAAGGATGAAAGGTTTCTCCAGTGTGACAAGATTGACAACGCATACAAAAGAACCTCCTGTTTACCATTAGACTGTTCGCTCTCTGTCTTACACTCCGGTCTCCCAAGGCTTTACAGTGATGAGGTCTGCTAAAGGGTCTGATAAGCTCTTTGGTGACTCACTCACAGTCAGGTCTTCCCCCACGGTTCTGACATCCTTTTTATAGAACAGAATAGAGAGAAAAAGGTTGGCGCAACCTCATCTAAGTCTGAATATCTTTCCTGACCCATCGAGCACATTTACTTTGTGCTCAGGCGAGGCTGGGTGGTCCCCAACTCTCCACATCGAAGCAGACGCTGTGCTGAATCAGGCTACGAGTAGTACATCCAGAGTTTTCCAGAAAGTAAGTATCGCTCTCCCCATTTCATCTGTTGATTGAGCCTTGTTGTTATTCGAGGCCGAAAAAGGAGCTAAAAAATAATAACTAAGAAATAGTTGTTTGTATAACAAATTCTATAGAAAGCACGGTTTTGACTCTTTGGTCAGCACTTGGGAATCTGGGTCACCTGAGATAGATAAGCCACTGTAATTCTTGGAACACACTCTAAATTAACCATGTGCCTAATTATTTCACTGGTGGCACAGTAATATTTTTCTTTCATTATTAGCCTGATGCTAGCAAACAGTATGAAGGAAAAGCCAATGCAGTGCAAAGGTGTTTGAGTTAGCTC